GCTGTGTTGAAAAAGCCCCTACAGTGTTGAAGGATGTGCCTCCCCACTCCAGACTGATGCAGGAAGAGATCTTCGGCCCTGTGCTGCCCATAGTGGCTGTGAGTGATATGGATGATGCCATTCAGTTTATTAACGAGAAAGAGAAACCCCTGGCCCTCTACATCTTCTGCTCAGACAAGAAGGTGAGACAGAGAAATGTTAAGGCAGCTTTTAAAGCTTTTCTGTGTCTTACTCTGCTTTTATCCCCTCACTCCCGTCCCGTGGTCTTAGGCAATAAAACGAATGATTGAGGAAACCACAAGTGGAGGAGTGACGGTCAATGACGTTATGATGCACTACACACTCAGCTCTCTCCCCTTTGGGGGTGTTGGTGAGAATAATCTCGTTCTTGTGCGTGTTGTGTCCAAATAATATGTCTCTAAAATATTTCTAAATTGTCCCAGGATTTGTTTCCTTGTTCTTTGTCAAGTTAAAAGAAATAAACATTTCAAACTGCTAAAAAAGGCTAGTTGGGGACTGCCACAATTCAGTTCCATTCAGTTGATTTATATAGCACCAAGTCACAACAGACGTCACCTCAGGACACTGAACAGAAACCTTCACATACATTATAAATGCCAGTTAGTAAAAATTCTCTATCTAAGGAAGTCAGCTGATTGCGTTGAATCTTCACTTCGTCACAGTCTCTCATCCTGAGCACAAAGGAGACAGTGGAAAAAAACCAAACTCCATTTTAACAGGAAGAAACCTCCAACAGAACCAGGACAAATGACCATCTGCTTCGAGCGACTGGGTTTGAGGACACGAAGGAGAAACAAACGAGCACAGAATGTCAGGTCCAGGTGTACTTTCAGCTATTAACAGAACAGGTAGAATAAAGCAAGGAAAGACAGAACCACAGTGAGGAAATGATGTCAATTGTCAGTCTAAGTCTATCGAAGCATAACTTAGGGATAACTCAGAAAACCCAAGCCGACCCTAATAATAGGATTTATCTGAAAGACTTGTGCCTAAGACAAGATGTCAGCATCATGGACAGAAACTGGGAGTTGGTTCCACAAGAGAAGAGCATGATAACTGAAAACTCTGCCTCCCATTCCAACATTTTTCAGTCAGGTCATCTGGACAGTTTCTTTTTTTTTTGTGCTGAAACGTTTCGCCTTCGATCCGGAAGGCTTCATCAGTCAAGGAAACACACAACAAAACTGATTCTTCCCCCAACAGCTTACTCCAAAGTGGAACAAACCAGTTCTGCTTGTGGTAAGATGGTTTCTTTGGTACGCCCCCTCCTCCATTGCCGGCCCTCTTCCTTGTTGACAGTCGTGTCAAACTGGTTGAAAACAACAAAGCCTCCCATTCTACTTTTGGAAACTGTCTGAGTGTGAAGTGCTCTGTTTGGAAAGTATGGAAGATGGAGCTAGGTTGTTGAGGGCTTTGTAGGTTAGGTGTAAGATTTAGAATTCTATTCTGAATTCAACAGGGAGCCAATGGAGAGAAGCTAAAACTGGAGAGATATGATTTATCCTACTAACTCTCATTAAAACTCTGGTAGTAGCATTTTGGATCA